TTCCATTGTCTCCACGCAGCCCAGTCTACTCTTCCCTGGCCAGCGTACTGGCTGGATAGGAACAGGTGCATTCTTCAGTGACCCTCAGCTTCTTGCTCCTTGAAAGGGGCCAGATGCAAACTCTTGTGTCCCCTTCCCCACTATGTGTGTCAGTGGCTCCCAAGAGGACCCCAGGGCTCTGCAACCCATCGCCAAAGTCCCCACACCCCACCTGCCCTGCCTGCTGGGATGCCCTCGAGGGTTCAATCCCCTCCTGAGGCTGGGAGGGTAAAGGGAGGCCAGGGTCTCCTGAGGCCACCCAAAACCTCTGCCCAGCACAGGACAGAGTGTCTGTGGGCCCATCACTGGACACTGTCAGGAGGCCATCTGGGGTGAGGGCAACCTGAGCAGGAGCATGGTCCAGGAGCCCGGGTAGACAGCCCGCCTCTGCTGGGAGCGAGACCCCCACGTGTGCAGCCCACGAGTGTGTCACCTTCACCTGCCGAGACCCGTGCAGCACATGACGGACCTCTGCAACGGTGCCCCTCACCACAGAGGACACAGAAACCTTTCGTGCCCAGCCACGGGGGGTGCAAGGACCACCCTGTTCAGGCACTGCTATGCATTAGGGACGAGGCACCAAGAGGCTCACAGGGACACGCATTGACTTAAGGTCACAGGACTGGGAAGGGTGGCCCAGGAGCTGCACTGGGACCACACTATGGGGACTGTGGCCGATGCTCCCTGCGTCCCCAGCAGGTGCATAAACTGTGTCAGCCAACGTCTGTCGCCCCCTTCGCAGGGTTGCTCAGACTGCCCGCTGTGCTGGCCGGGATGTTTGGCCTGTTCGGCATCTGGAGGACCTTTACCACCGTCGTCTTCTACCTGACTCTCGTCATCGCCCTGGCGGGGCTGGTGGGCAACGGGATCGTGCTCTGGAACCTGCTCCTCCACGTCAAGAAGGGCCCCCTCTCCCTCTACCTGCTCCACCTGGCCATCGCGGACCTCCTGTTCCTGGCCTGCCAGGTGGCCTTCTCCATCGTCCAGGCTGCCTTGGGCTCTGC